TGAGCTAATCCAATTGTCATTACAACTTGTGCAGGTCCATCTGCTATATTTGTTATATAAAATCTTATTTTAATACATTTCAGCCTCTGTGAGACTTTTAATTTTAGTATGTTTAATCATCTGATAGAAACAAATGTCTGCTCACTGAAGCTTTTCCATTGATTTTCTCTGGCTGTTTGCTTTTCCCCACACTGTTTGTTTAAGGTAGTTTCAGCCGAGAGCATTGTATGCCGGTTCTCTATCAAACAGACGCTGAACCCACTTTACTTTGGCTCACTGAAAGCACCTTGGGAAAAGTAAATCAAATAAAGAAAACGATATCAACAGGGTGAACTGATTCAATCTCCGACATGAGACTGATTGTACGAGAATGCACTTAAAGAGATTTCTTTTAAAGGCTGGTGATAAACAGTGTGGGATAATTTAACATGGAGGAGTTGAGCAGGAATATCAAGGGCAGAATCAGTGATGTGAAACATGAGATCTGGTGTTTAGTGTGAAGTCAAACAAGAAATTCTTTTCACATCAAGTCTGAGGGTTTTTTTTCAGTAAAATATTTTGTCTGATAAGTAGTCATATCGTTTTACCTCATTAATCTGTAACACCTCCTTCCCAGTTCCTCACTTCTCAGCCAGGAAGTGAATACAAATCAGGCAGCTATACTTAGTGCTACACTGAATGTTTGGAAAAGCATATTTTGCTGAGTTTGGCAAATAGTGTCAGATTAACTGGACGTGATGTTCTTCCTCAAATATAGAGAATTTGTGATTATAGCACAAAGCTACTGTGATACTGAACAATCTTTCTTTTACAAAAGCGTTCACATTTACCACACTGAGAAATTCCAGAAGTCACTTGTCCGGTTTTAGCTTTAAATAACTGACTTCTGCAACATTTAGATGTCCTCTAGCCAGTTCTGCTCAGTGCAGGGGACACATAGAGGACAGCAGCGAAAACAGAGAAAATCAGATTCAATATCATTACTGAACACAGTTTCTGTGACCGTAAAATCATGTACTACTCTGTTACAACAGTGACAAAAGTCTGTATATGTTGTGCATGATGCTGTCAGATAGAGACTGAAGAATTAGGTTGAAAACAAAAACTATGTCTGGGCCATCTCAATTATAATGGACACTGTCTTTTCATGTCCCTGTTTTTCAGATGCAGCGAGGCATTAAATTTGTGACTAATGAAAAGTGACCACTTTTGTTTTGGGAGGTTTTCACAGCAGCGCAGTGAGAGAGCAGATCCGTTTTATGAATACTGAGGCCTGTTAAGAGTTTTGGAGAATATTCCGTGCTCTGACATTAACAATCACTTGTTAAGATTTATTTAAAGCTGCAGTGTATCGATATCTTTCACTTTGCTCTAAGTCTGAATAACAGGATGAACAACATTTTACAACACATTCTTGATATTTATGGCCTCTGCAGTTCACCTGGTTCACCAGTTGATTATTTAGACAGCATTCAACTGCTAATAATGTAATTCTACTTCCCCACAAACAGAGGAATAGGAAAAAAAACATCTATATAACAACCTAAAGGAATCTGCTTATTATTACCATTATATACCGTGGAATGACCATCATCACTATGTTTTTGTGCTTCATTAAAGTAATTCTAACTCTGAGGACAAATTAAAAAAAATAACTAAAAAGAAGGTGATTGGTTCAAATGGAGAAAATGTCCAGGGTATTAGTTTTGAGAGCATGTTAGAACCTGAAGTTAAATGTAAACCGTCATATCATATTATTATATCTGGATGATCTTGAAGTTCTGAGTGCAGTTTCTGTGTTGCTGAGCTGGACAGAGAAACCTCTGCATGTTGAGATCACCTGAAAGAATTGGAGAAGTTAAAGTTGTGTGACCCTCGACTTTTTGGAGCAAATGTTTTTCATCCAAAAGAAAAGGATGTTAAGTGACAGGACTCCTCTAACTCTTCTATGTGCCTCTTTATCTGTTTCATCAAAAACTAATCTGCATACATTAAATTAGAACTTTTCTCATATATTAATTTCCATTATGCCTTCTGACGTTGGTGGTGTTAAAATATTTGTAATTGTTCTAAAATTGTGACACTGTACTTTGTTTTTTTACCATTAAGTGAGCCTTTGTTCTCTATAATTACAGACTGCCATGCTGAATAACTCCGCTCTCATTTGGAGAGAACTATTTTTGCTTTCTCTGATTTTTCTGGTATTTACCCAGTCTACGTACATGCCAGAGTCTAAACCGCAACAGAGCCACCACAACAATGCGCCCTAAGCAGCCAATGTTTCAGAGACCACATTCACTTATCCACTTGCTGAAGTACGACTTCTCTCATCGTCATCTATGTTCCACTTCCCAGCTCTGTCCTCCTCCAACTCTTACAGTTGCAAAAGCAAACTCTGACATCTTTCCTCTAAATTTTGGATGGGTTCCTTTCTTTTAAATCATAAGATCAAAACAAAGATGAACACAGTCAGCACAGTGTCTATACATGTCCATACTTTGATGTAGTTTTTAAAGTTATTACTCTTTAAAGGCTGCAACATCTCACCATCTATCTATCTTCTCAAGACTGTTGACGTTTTTCACTCAGAGCTCCATCTGCTGTTCCTCAACACATTAACATAATGAATCAATAATCAATAAACCTGTATCAACACAAAGGTCCAGCATTTTATTGTGTGCAGTGTATTGAAGAAAAGAGCCTCCTGTTTCCTGTAGATTGTTTGCAGAACAAAATGTGACACTGAAAATGTTCTCAGATTTGCACATGCTGAACTGTATCTCCAACCCCAGCATTAAAATTCCCATAATGCTTCAAACAAGGCAAACAGCCAAGACACCAAGGTTTTTTTTCTGCTCTGTGCAGAGAAGGACATGTTTGCATTGCAAACTTCATGTCATTCTAGGCACACACTCACTGCAGATTGCATTTCAAGAAGTGTCCCTGACGGATCTGAGCTGCTCGATCCAGGTGGGATTACAGAGGTTAACAGGATTTTAATTTAAGAGGAAAAATGCTGACGGTTCTGTTTCATTTGGCTCTAAACCCAGAAATCAGCCAAGAACAATTTTGTACTTTTGTGCACATTTTTTTCCCAGGAATGTGAATTTGTACATTAACTAACCTTTATATTACAGTGTTTTTTTCTGCTGGTTATTCCCAGATCACAGACGATGTCTAAGGGTGACAGGGCTTTTGCTGTGGAGCAGCTCATCAGACAGGCAACATCCTTAGTCTCTTTTAAATCTCTTAAAACATGTTTCTTATGGTATTTATTTCATTCTCTTAAACGGATTTATCTTTCTGTTGTTTTGATTACTTTTACCATTACTTTGTTGCTTTAATCTAAATGTTTTAATCTTTTCCCAGTAAACCTAATAAAATGAAATGACTCTGAAGTCTTCATTTAATCAAGATAACACATATTTCACATTAAAACAAGTTACATCTCTAATGTTACATTTTGTGTTCTTATTGTCTACAAAAACAAAGGCCACCACCAAGAACTGGACACTTTTAATCCACTGGGTGGCGCCATTGTATTGATGTTGGGATGATTTCAGTGCTGGTCAACATTTGTTCAATTGTGCCAAATTTCAAATGTTTTTCCAATATCACAATTCAGTAAAGAAATATAAATATAATATACTCTCAACATGTCATCCATCTGTCAAGGAAACAATCTAATGGAAAAATATAAGACTCAATAATTTCAATAAAAAATAATTTCTCCCCCAACATTGTAAAATGTCAGAGAAATAGAGTGTGAACATTGTCAACACACTTTATCTCACTTTATCCGTTCACTCAATTTTGCAGAATTGTGACAATCAAAAGAATTAGCTAGGTATTAAAAGTATTGTCCAAAAGACAAAAGACATAATAACTACAAGTTTTATTTTACCATTAAACAAATTCAACAGGCACGTCTAGAACCATGTCACTATAAGAAAGTGCTTTAGAGTCCAAACAGGGTCCTGAGGCCAGCAGCCCTGCGAGCCATCCACAAATCACTGTTATGAACAGAAGCATTCCTCTGTCCTCTGGGGTATATAAGGCTTCATTTGGTTTGCCTCCATGATATATGTTGAGGGCAAGAAGTCATTTAGCTTTCAATTTATTAGCCTGGTGATTTATGCGTGCTGCAGAGGTAGCGGTGGTGTCTCCTATGGCCCACCACCACCCACCACAGTCCTCCACCCGCCACCCTTTTCAGATTGACACTAATAATTTGGTAATAGATGATGTGAAAGCAGAGAAAGTTCAGCAGTTAGATGCGACTGTTTCTGTGGCTGCACTTCATCTATCACTGCTGTTTTAGTCACTCAGGAAAGGATTAAAACACATGAGACCAGGCACAGCAACCAGCACTGCAGATATCCAGGGGAGAGGAAACCAGCCACACCAGCACACTAAGTTGTCGCTGATGATCTAATGTTCAGGTTCAAAAGTTGAAATAAATAAACTCTCAATCTCAGTAACACTTAAAGGGATAGTTCACAGATTTTTCTCCTTCATTATCTACTCATCCCTATGAAGGGGTGGGTGAAGTGTTTGATTCCACAAAACACTTTTGGAGTTTCAGGGGTAAACAGTGTTGAAGCCAAATCCAATACAATTGAAGTAAATGGTGACCACTTCTTCAAATGTAAAAAAACAACAGAAAAAAAAATTGAAAATGCCTTCATTCTGCTCGTGTGGTGTCATCCAAGAG